CAAATAAATAATAAATTGAATAACATGAGCATTTAGTTGCTAGTCGAAGTTGAAATCTGTTATGAGGTACTTTTATTGATCTGAAGTAAATAAGAGATTGTTGATGTAATTGATTGGAATGTGTCTGAACATATATTGTCTTATAGAGTTTTTCGGTTGGTTTCTGTCTGGGGTTGAAGGTTGTCGCATGTGTTTTCAAATGTAATGTGTACTGATATTTATTCTTTTTTGTGAATTCGACTTATCTTATTCCTCCATATGATCGGGTATGAATTTTGTTCTGAGATGGGAGTTCGATACTCTTTTTTTTTTGCGTAAGAGTCACTTGTGTTGGGAGAGGAAATGTTATAGTGGAGGTTTCTGTTGAAAAATAATTAGTCTAGGATGTTCTTTATAAAGGAAGGTTAAGTCGTTTGTAGTTTGTTTGTTGTTTCACTCTGCTGTTTTCTAGATAAGTAACTATACAGGATTTCGATATTTTCGTTATTAATAAGTTTCAATTTAAAAGTCGTTGCTTTAATGGCGTCACTGGAGAGCCATCGACCACTACCTGTGGAAAATGTTGCTGAATTTTTACGTCAACATCATGGCCGAAATGTTTTACATGCTTATCGTTCGGTGCAAAAATTTTATTTTCGGTTGGAGTCTATTAAACGTGATCTAATATTTTTAAAAGCATGTCGATCGAATAATGTCATTCCAAAGTTTTTGTGGTTTAAGACGGCGAACAGACAGCTCGCTCAATCATATGTATATAAAGACTGTCAACGCCGATTTTTAAGGGTGGAAATCGATTGGAAATACGACTATTTTTACAGAACGAAAAGTGTACATGAATTATCGCTTGATGTACTTCGTGAATTAATATCTAATCGTCTTTTCGAACATTTGCATCGCATGGTTATACTTTCTTCTTCACGACTATTACAAGAAAAGGAAAATAAATTAAAATATAAACTTTGGGATTTAGGAGTGCGTAAAGAGTACATTGAAGTTAATGATCCAGGAGTTGTTACGAATCTTTCATCACGTGTTCTATCTGATGAAGAAATTCAATGTCTTGCTAATGGATTAGATGATGGTTTAATTCCTAAACGTATCGATCGACTCAATATAGCAAGTAACGTTGAACAATTTTACCATCGAGTTACTGATATTACTCAGCATCACAAGGAATTTATGAACGAGCTGAAGGAGCATGGAGGTATTGTGAATACTGATGTTCGTGTTTTGAATCCAAAAGAACTTACACTGGTCTCTGATTTACGTTCCCTAACTCAATCATTTCTGCACAAGGCTGATCAATTTCGACAACAAAATCTCAAAATCGAGTCGAAAGAACAGAATTATCGCACGATCCTCAAGAATTTAAGAGAAGATAATTCAATCGTTATTACTCGTCCAGATAAAGGAAGAGGAATTGTATTGATGGATAGACAGGAGTATGTTAACAAAATGCTCTTTATTCTGGATGATTCATCTAAGTTTTGCTGTTTATCTGAAGATCCTACAATTAAAAGGGAAAAGTATCTGAATGATTTATTACGACGATTACTTAACGAAGGCAGTGTTACCGATGAATTCCATAGAATTGCACGACCTATTGGGTTCAATCCTGGACGACTTTACGGACTTCCAAAAGTCCCAAGGAAAACGTACCACTTCGACCAGTACTCTCGTCAATTGGGACGTTCAATTATGGACTTGGAAAGGCTCTTACTCACATGCTGTGGGACATTGTAGAAAAAAAAAATATTATTCGTGATTCCTTTTCTTTCGTTAAAGATGTTCGAGTGTTACCAAAGGATTTCTCAATACATAAGATGGTATCATTTGATGTCAGTAGTCTATACACAAATGTACCAATCGATGAGACCATCAAAATTATTCTCAAATATTTATATGAAATCCGAGCTACTCCTCCGTCTATGAAACGGGATGATATGGAGGAACTCCTTATCTTTGCCACAAAGAATTCGCATTTTCTTTTTGATGGTAAAGTTTATGACCAAATAGACGGAGTATCAATGGGATCTCCTCTAGCACCTCTTCTTGCTGAAATTTTTCTACAAGAATTCGAGAGGAAGTTTGCAGCATTATTGGAAGAGCTTGGGATTATTTATTGGAAAAGATATGTTGATGACACTTTTGTATTACTCAATTCAACACTTTCTACAAAGGTTGTTTGTGCGGAGCTATCAAAATATCATCCTTCCCTTCAATTCACCAGTGAAGATGAAGATCCAGTTGCACATACACTAGCATTTCTTGATGTGCTTATTCAAAGACAACCGGGTACTGGCTTTCATACTAGCGTCTACAGAAAGCCAACCTTCTCTAGCCTTATGACAAAATGGAGCAGCTTTGTCCCAAAGATCTACAAGTATAACGCAATCTCCACTTTGATCTATCGGGGCAACTCAAATCTGTTCGTCGAAGAAATCGCTCTACAAAGAGTTCCAATTCATCCGAAAATTATCGTTTCGGAATGGTTATCCAACCGCTTTTGTAAACTCAATTATTAGACGACAACTGCACATTAAAAACTCATCTCCTACTGCTGTTGTACCAGAACTTAATAACGGTATCGTAGTACTTCGAGTACCATATTTTGGTACTGAATCTCGAGTATATGGAAAACGTGTAACATCTGCAGTTGCTAAACAACATCCCCTTAAAAAAGTGCGCGTCATCTATGATATAGCAGACCGTATCGGGAAAGGTTTTAAATTAAAAGATTATCTTACCGATGAATTAAAATCTGGTATTGTGTATGAAGCCACTTGTTCCCAATGCAATAAATCATATGTTGGCCAAACATTTCGGCATCTAAAAACAAGAGTTCATGAACATATATTAGATCAAAAAAAGTTCTTACCCCAAACTGTAATCATGTCTGCACAAAAAAAAAAGTATTACTCAAAAACAAATAATTCACCATAATGGTCCCCTGACTAGATCAAAAACCGGGAAACTTCCTCTGTCAATTCTTAAATTGAACCACGCTGGTATTGATACATTTTTAGAATAAACCACGCGAAAAAATCAAAAAAAATCATTCCACTTCCAAAATCAGCAATTGTTAAACATTACCTTTCCTCATTTCATGTTATCACCAAAAACGACTTTAAAATTTTACTAAGAGAACCACGGAGATATCGATTGAGAATTAAAGAGTCGCTAATGATCATAGCAAGTGTTATGTCATGACATCTATATATATGTATTGTTATCTATTCTCTTTTCTTTCCTTTTCTTTCTTCTTCTTTTATATATATATGCATGTGATAGTATGTACAGGTAGTGATTCGTTAAATTTAAGAAATAAACAAACGTTTATGTTCTACATATTCGAACCCATGATTTGCCCTTAAAACAAGTATAATAAAAGTAGAACATAACAGTTTGTTTATTTCTTAAACTTAACGAATCACTACCTGTACATAATATCACATGCATATATATATCAAAGAAGAAGAAAGAAAAGGAAAGAAAAGAGAATAGATGAACAATACATATATATAGATGTCATGACATAACAGCAAGACATCCAAAACTTAATGGAACTGAAAGATCCATGCCACTCTACATATATCCCGATGGCATTGAAATCAGCAAAAACAACAAAAGAAATCAAGAACCGAATCAATAGTTTCAGTATGCAACCCATCACACACAAAAGACATACAGGACATACCTTTGAAGATTAATAACACCATTTTATATTCAACATTCTGCTAAATAATAACATATTAAACCGATATTGTAAATAATCTATATATAAATTAAAACATGCAAAAACCCTATATCATTAAACATTATTCATCATCTTCCATCTTCACCATTTCCATCTTATCCAATTATTTTACTTTCCTGTTCCATAATTTTCTCTGTGCAATAAAATATCTGTCGGTGCGGTGCGTTGCGCACTAAAACTATTTCACGTTTTCTTTCATCGTATATATCTTGTCACCAGCTTAAAAAAAACAAACCTGAATGTTATCGGCAATAATCTACAATATCAGATCCAGCTCTTCAAGAAAATAAATATTTATTTA